CTTTCACGTTCCCAGTGTGCGCACCCCAGCCTACCCCAAGGACTTCTTTCAGTTTTCTCACCTTAATTTTCATTGTCTGTCGTTCATTTTTGTATCAAATTCTTCGCAATATAATTTCCTATAGGGGTATATGCATACAAGGCCCAAAAGCCAGGCGTGCCACCCGCACAAAACCCAAAAATCGGGTGAGTTACCTGTGCGCATGCAATGCCCTAAAATGTGTTTACTCTTTTCGGTTTTCTCACCTCAGTTCTCGTGCTACATCGTTCATTTTGGTATTAATTTGTTAACAATAGAATTCCCTACAGAGGTATATGCATACAAGGTCCAAAACCCCAGCCCCCCCACCCACCCAGCCCCCCCCACCCACCCATCCCCAACAAAGCCGAAAGTCGGCCAAGTCACCCATGATCGAGCACCAGTTGGTACATCCGCACACAAATATGTATACGCTTTTTAGTTTGATAACATTAAATTTCATGTTACGTCATTCATTTTAGTATCAAATTGTTCGCAATAGAATTCTCTAAAGGGATATATGCATATAAGGTCAAAATGGCCTAGCATCCCACCTGCAGCAAACCCAAAATTCGGATGTGCCTTACCCGTGATCGAGCACCTAACTCTACACCCACAATACCCGCACTAAAATGTGTACACTCTTCAGTTTCTCACGTCAATTTCCGTGTTACATCGTTCATTTTGGTATCAAACTGTTCACAATAGACTTCTCTAAAGGAATATATATATGCATGTAATGTTAAAAAGCCCAGCGTGCCACCCACAGCAAACCCGAAAATCGGCCGAGCATTACCTGTGAGCAAGCACCCAATCAGGATACCTGATCAACCAGGCTGTGACTCATACGTCAGGTTGCGAGCAGCCGCGTCCAACAGCCTGGTTGATCAGTCCAGCAACCAGGTCTGGTCGACGACCAGGCCACAGGGACGCTAAGCCCCAGAAGCACCTCAAGGTAACCCATCCGCACACAGACACTATAATGTGTATACATACTCTGTTCAGTTGTCTCGCCTCAATTTTCATGCTACATCATTCTTTCTGGTATCAAATTGTTCGCAATCTAACAGCACTCATTTTAAAACTAGTCCCATAATGATCAGCTAAAAAATGGAATTTTAACAAATATTTAAATTTTGGACGCCACATGCGTACCCGCCGGACATCCGCAGAGTTATTTGTGGACGTCGACTCCATCCCTGGAGAACGAAAGAGTTTAGAAGCACATCAACAAACTGTAAAAGGTGCAAAGACATGCAACTAAATGGCTCGCAGAACTGAAGGACAAGAGCTACAAAGAGAGGTCAGAGGCATTAACCCTTAAACTGTGCATCACATCATATGAAGTGTTGAGTAACTTGCTATAAATTGCGCATCACGTCACATGACGTGTTGGAGTACTGCGCAAGATTTAAACAGCCCGCAGATACACTGGGTTCACCCCACCTTCATCAGGGCTCTTGTAAACAGATGCCATTATTTTTAAAAATCGTGGGGCACATTCCCGGGTGTGAAGTCCTCAGTAGTGAGCGAGTCACCAAAGCTGGCACACGTAGCAGGAGCTCACAGCACTGCTGTTCAGCTTGTGATCACAGCATCACCTAAAAATGCCATAATATATATGTTCATGCTATTATTTAGCGATGATAGTATTACAGAAGACCCAGGTTGTGATAAAAGTGACCAGGATTCTGATAATAGCAGGATTGTTGTGATAATTAGCGCTGTAGTGCGAGGAGAAATCTTGGTGGGGAGGGAGGTAGCATTGTCTGCTGACTGTGTGTGACCACCTTTTACTGTCTGGACTCACTATAGCAGCTTAGTTGTTCGCTATGGTGAACAAAACATGCAGATACATATATATATAATGTCTGTATATAGCGAATAAAAAAAAATTGTTTATTTTTCCCATGATCAGAGAACACAATTTAACAGGTATAAAAGACTTTTTTTTTTGTTATGCACCTGTGGGTGACAATGGCCAAATAGCCCTTAGCAACACAAGGGTTAAATATGCCAAAACTAAAAGACAGAAGGAAAAGAGTCGACATGATCACTACGTTCAAAATACTAACGGGAATCGATAAAATTGATAGGGCAGAATTCCTGAGACCTGGAACTTCAAGAATAAGAGGTCATAGATTTAAACTAACTAAACAAAGCTGCCGAAGAAATATAAGAAAATTCACTTTTGCAAACAGAGTGGTAGACGGTTGGAATAAGTTAGGCAAGAAGGTGGTGTAGGCCAAAACTGTCAAGAATTTCAAAGCATTATATGACAAAGAGTGCTGGGAAGATGGAACACCACGAGTGTAGCTCTCATCATGTAACTTCTTAGGTAATTACACCACCACAACAATTGTTTTTTTTTTTTTTTTTTTTTTTTTTTTTACTTCAGGGTACTGTATCAACTTTTCTTTTAGCAGCCAGCTGGCCGGCCGGCCTCTAGGGGGGCTGGCCGGCTGAGCGGACAGCACGCTGGACACGTGATCCTGTGGTCCCGGGTTCGATCCCGGGTGCCGGCCAGAAATGATGGGCAGAGTTTCTTTCACCCTGATGCCCCTGTTACCTAGCAGTAAATAGGTACCTGGGAGTTAGTCAGCTGTCACAGGCTGCTTCCTGGGGGTGGAGGACTGGTCGAGGACCGGGCCGCGGGGACACTAAAGCCCCGAAATCAACTCAAGATAACCTCAAGATTGCATAGTTTTTTCTTTAAAGCCTATGCTTTCTGGTGGATAACTTTCTCGGTTTTTGGTTCACATCTGGTCCCCTAGTCTCAGATATAGATTCAGGTTCTAGCTTGCTTCAGGCAAGTATGGAAAGCGAGGGTGAATCTCAGAGGCATGGTACATTTCCCTAAAGACTGGCTGGACCCAGTGTTTAGCTCTGGGAGTTACTCAAGTCCTTCAAGAAAATATTGTAATGATTTACCATGAATGAATACATTGCAATGTAACTAATGCATATACTTTCTTAAACATTATTATTAATGTATTTAAAAAATTATAAGGAAACACAGCCTATTTTAACAAGACATCAAAGGTTGTCAGTATAGAGAAGGCCAGGATATAGAGGATACACCAGGAGGCCTGGTCGAGGACCAAGCCGCAGGGATGCTAAGCCCTAAAACCATCTCAAGGTAACCTCAAGGTAGAGTACTGAATGATTAACCCTTAAAGTGCGCATCACGTCATATGACGTGTTGGAGTACTACGCAAGATTTAAACGGCCCGCGGATACACAGGGTTCGCCACACCTTTATCAGGGCTCTTGTAAACGTCATATGACGTGTTGGAGTACTACGCAAGATTTAAACGGCCCGTGGATACACAGGGTTCGCCACACCTTTATCAGGGCTCTTGTAAACAGACGCCATTTTTTTTAAAAATCGTGGGCCAAACTCCCGGGTGTTATTGGCCTCAGTATTGAGTGAGCAACCAAGCCTGATGCACGCAGCATGAGCCAACAGCACTGCTGTTCAGCTTGTGACCACAGCATCGCCTAAAAATGCCAAAATATACTTGTTCATGCTATTATGTAGCGATGATATTATTACAGAAGACCCCTGACTATGATAAAACTGACCAGGGTTCTGATAATAGCAGGATTGTGGTGATATTTAGCACTGTGTGCCATGGAGGGAGGAGTAATGCTGTGGGAGGGAGGGTGGTGGCGATGTCTTCTGACTGTGTGTGGCCACCTTTTATTGACTGCACTCACCATACCAGCTTAGTGGTTCGCTACGGTGAACACAAATGTAGATACTTATATATAACGTGTGTATAGAGGGTATAAACAGCAAGAGAAGGTTTGGAGTCGCCATTTTGGTGAGGGCGGTGGTGTCGTCTGCATGACGCCACCGTGCAGACGACGGTATTGTTTACTGGTTACCACGATGGTCTTTGGGCACCATACCAGTTTATTTGTACAAGTATGGTGAATAAAACGGGTAGATATTTATATATAATGTGTGTATATAGCGTAATAACACCACACAGTATTGTTGGAGGAGAAATATTAGTGCGTCTGGCCTTGAGGGCGGCAGCCATCAGCTGACTGTGTGAGGTCCTACGTCTTTGTACTTTACTCACCATACAAGCTTAGATGTACAGTTATGGTGAACAAAACATGTAGATATTTATATATAACGTCTGTATATAGTGAATTATAGCAAAAACATTATTGTGGGAGGAGAATGTGGGTGAGTCAGATGACTGGAGGGAGGGCGGGATTGGCTGGCTGGTACACGGCGGTCACTCCTCGTTACTTTTTGACTCATAATAGCTACTTAGTGGTTCGTTATAGTGAACAAAACATGCAGATACTTATATATAACCTGTGCTTATAGTGTAATAACCGACAAAGTATTTGTTCACTGATTGATGAACATAATTGAATCAACAATATGCACACCATATTTTTTAGTACAGCAATGATTCACTCATTTTATTATATAAATATATCAAACTACACACTATTGAATAATATTACAGCAAAAAAACTATGAAAAATCAATCAGAGACATTGAAATAATTAGGTAATTATCTCTTTGTAGCAACTCCGGCCTGACAGCTGGCGAGCAACAGACCGCCTGGGACGCACGCTGAGTCAGCGGCTATAATTTGCCAGACTTCCCCGCCCTATAGTGGGCAATATATGCCACTTACGATTTTTTTATTATTTTTCCTGTGATCAGTGAACACAAATTAACAGGTTAGGAAGAAAAAATATTTTTTTTTTTTTCAAAATTACATGCGCCTGTGGGGAAGAAAGGATATTATTCCCCTAGCATGATAAGGGTTAAACTATAAAAGAAAACTTATTAACCAGCACTGTAATTCACAAAGAGACATCAATATAGTGAATACTATTTGAACAAAATTTAGAACTCAGAAGTAGCAATATCCACATTAAATAAATCCAGTGAAGTACTGTATATAAATATTGTGGTCCCCTATTAATGGCAATGTCCTTCATAGTACCTTTACTGTCTTCATCAATGCAGTATGCATCCTCCTCATAATCATAATCAGAATCCTCATAATCGTTTTCCTCAAATGAGTCTTGGTGTACTGGGGATATATTTTTTATGTTTTCTTGTTGCTGCTGCTGTTGCTGCTGCTGTTGCTCTTGTTGTTGTTGTTGTATTCGTGAGGCTTCTCCATCACTCATATCCCAGTTCTCTTCAAGCTCAGGGATCAACATATTAGGAAGCGTTCGGCATGGCTGACGTGAGCTTTCACTGAAAATACACAAATAATCAATACACAAATAATGTTTATAAAGTAAATATTTAGTAAACTTTTAAGCCACAAGCCAAAATATAATCTACCATTTAAATTAATTTCTGGTGGACATTGTCAACTTGAGCCAAGTGAATCCTGCAAATTTCTCAATTTCGCAAACTTGCACATGATCAGCTAGCTTCACTTCTCAGTCGGGCTTCAATGACCACATGAACATTTAGTTGAGTAAACAAAAAATTATAGCATACAATAGTTCAGTATTTCTTAACATAGTACAGTATTAGTTGATTATCTTGAGGTTATCACGAGATGATTTTGGGGCTTTAGTGTCCCCACAGCTCGGTCCTCGACCAGGCCTCCACCCCCAGGAAGCAGCCCGTGACAGCTGACTAACACCCAGGTACCTATTTTACTGCTAGGTAACAGGGGCATAGGGTGAAAGAAACTCTGCCCATTGTTTCTCGCCGGCACCTGGGATCGAACCCAGGACCACAGGATCACAAGTCCAGCATGCTGTCCGCTCGGCCGACCGGCTCCCCGGATTATCATTAATCATCACTGCAAGTATGGTAATTTTAAAAATTTTCCTGTGATCATAGTACTGTACTGTAATTACTTCTGACATGGATGACAAATATTCTAACTGACAGACAGATGAGGGCAGTAATCAGATGCACTGTATCTGACAGGAGTGTTACTAGTGGAGTACAACAAGGTTCAGTTCTTGCACCAGTAATGTTAATCATCTACATAAATGACCTACCAGAAAGAATATAGAATTATATGAACATGTTTGTGGAAGATGCTAAGATACTGGGGAAGATAGGAGACACATGATTATAATGCCCTTCAAATTGATCTAGGCAGTGCTTGAACCATCAAGAGGCAAATGGAATTTAATGTGAATAAATGCCATGTTATGGAATGTGGCATAGAAAATAGACCACACACAACTTAAAAATTATGTAGAAAAGAATTTCAGAACTCTAATAAAGAACGAGACCTTGGGGTGGTTTTGGGTAGTAAACTATTGCCAGAGGAACACGAACATTGTGAGAGAAGCGTATGCATCACTCTCCAACTTCAGACTTGCTTTTAATTATATGGATGGTGAAATACTAAATAACTGTTTATGACTTTTGAGACCAAAATTTGAATATGCTGCAGTTGTATGGTGCCTAAATCTCAGGAAGCACATCAATAAACTGGAAAAGGTGCAACGACATGCTACAAAATGGCTTCCAGAACTGAAAACATGAGTTACGAGAAGATAGAAGAAAAAGAGGCGATATGATCACCACTTACAAAATACTAGCACGAATCTACCAAACTGACAAAGGAATTCCTGAAACCAGCAACTTCACGAACAAGAGGACACAGATTCAAGCTAAGAAAACAAAGGTGCCAAAAAAGTATTAGAAAGTTCTTTTTTGCAAACAGAGTATAGTAAAATTACCCAAGTGTAGTTACAGGATGAGAGCTACGCTCTTGGTGTCCCATTTTCCCAGCACTATCATATAGCGCTTTGAAATTACTAACGGTTTTAGCCTCCACCAGCTCACCTAACTTGTTCCAACTGTCTACTTCTCTTTGCAAAAGCAAGTTTTCTTATTTTTCTTCTGCAGCTTTGTTTAGTTACTTTAAATCTATGACCTCTTATTCTTGAAGTTCCAGGTCTCGGGAATTCTTCCCAATCAATTTTATTGATTCCCGTTACTATTTTGTACATAGTGATCATATCACCTCTTTTTCTTCTATCTTCTAGTTTGGCATATTTAATGCTTCTAACCTCTCCTCGTAGCTCTTGCCCTTCAGTTCTGGGAGCCATTTAGCTGCAATGCAGAGTAGTAGACAGTTGTAACAAGCTAAGTGAGAAGGTAGTGGAGGCCAAAACCATCAGTAGTTTCAAAGTGTTGTATGACAAAGAGCACTGGGAAGATGGGCCACCACTAGCATAGCTCATCCTGTAACTACACTTAGGTAATTACACTCAGACCTTGTCAAAGCACTCAGAAGAGTTCAAATGACTTGGTGTAAATCTTTACATAAAATTCACAAATATACAAGTGTGGGTCTTCATCCAAAACAGACAAAGCTAAAAAAAAAATTGCATTGGCTTGGTACCTTATCCTGATATTTTTCTTGAAGGGAATGGAACTAACAAACGAATACATTAAAAAGGTAATACTTAATGATGATAGGCATAGACTATTACAATTAAGGATTAATTTATATATAAATTAATCCTTAATTGTAATAGTCTATGCCTATCATCATTAAGTATTACCTATTTAATGTATTCATTTGTTATTTTTCTTGAAGGGAATGGAACTATCAGGATAAGATGTCAAGCCAATACAATTTTATATATATATTATATATTACATTTATTCTATATATATATATAATGTCGTACCTAGTAGCCAGAATGCACTTCTCAGCCTACTATACAAGGCCCGATTTGCCTAATAAGCCAAGTTTTTATGAATTAATTGTTTTTCGACTACCTAACCTGCCTAACCTAACGTAACTTTTTCGGCTACCTAACCTAACCTATAAAGATAGGATAGGTTAGGTTAGGTTAGGTTAGGTAGGGTTGGTTAGGTTCGGTCATATATCTACGTTAATTTTAACTCCAATAAAAAAAAATTGACCTCATACATAATGAAATGGGTAGCTTTATCATTTCATAAGAAAAAAATTTGAGAAAATATATTAATTCAGGAAAACTTGGCTTATTAGGCAAATCGGGCCTTGCATAGTAGGCCGAGAAGTGCATTCTGGCTACTAGGTACGATATATATATATATATATATATATATATATATATATATATATATATATACATACATACATATATATATACATACATATATATATATATATATATATATATATATATATATATATATATATATATATATATATATATATATATATATATATATATATATATATATATATATATATATATATATATATATATATATATATATATATATATATATATATATATATATATATATATAGTATGTATGAGTCAGTAGTTCTAGCAACACTACAGTTTATTTACTTTAATAACAATGGAAATACAGTACCAAGGTTTAATTCAGAATTGCCTGATGCCTCTGTTCACCTAGCATTAAATAGGTACCTTGGAGTTAGGTAACCATTGCGGGTTGCAGCCAGGGAAAAGGTCAGTACAGTAACTGGCTTTGAGGCACCTCGAAAGTTCAACAGGCTTCTTGTCCTCGATAATGGGAAGCAACATCAGCACTCTTTGGGCTACGTGAATTTACCTGAGGGACACCAAGACTCTTAGTGGTCTCGACGAGGACAGGAAGTCAACGGCTTGTCAAAGTCCCCCCCCCCTCACATTTGCCCCTTATGATTTTTTTCATAAGGTTAGGCAAAGGTTCTCAATTTGTACACATATACTGTCACTAACATACTAGCTCAATCCTTCCAATAATATATTCAAAATTCAAATTCAAATGTTTATTCAGGTAAAGTACATGCATACAAGAGGTGATAAAAAAATTGATAGATTTATAGAGCTAGTACATACAATGCCTAAAGCCACTATTACGCAAAGCGTTTCGGGCAGGAAAAACATTAAAGACTAAAACTTAATACTAATTGAGATTAAAGTATAAAATGTGTTGAGAAAAAATAGAAATAAAAAAAAAGGGGGAACATGGCAGAAAAACAGCAAAAATACAATTAGGTCGACAAACAGCGTTGTTTAAAAATAACAGACATGGGTTGACAATATAGGGGTAAGGTAGGTTACAGGGAATTTATTAGGTAGTGCTAATATAAAAGAGAGGTACAATGGCCTACTCGTGCATACAGGGCATTCATCTCGGGTGACCTCACACGGGATACAGCGAAAACGTACACAAGACAGTTTGTTTAGTTTGTTTTACGTAAGGCTAGTTAGGGCTAGGCAAAGTTAGTTTGGGCTAGGCAAGGTTAGTTTTGGATATGTAAGGTTAGTTTGGGTTAGATAATGTTAATTAGGGCTAGGCATGGTTAGTTTGGGTTAGATAAGGTTAGTTTGGGTTAGGTAATGTTAGTTATGACTAGGCAAGGTTAGTTAGGGTTAGGTAAAGTTAGTTAGGACAAGACAGGGTTAGAGGCATCTTTTCAAACCCATTGGCCAGGGTTCGAACCCTACTTATCTTACCTTCCCAACCCATCAACTAGTGTATTACTAGCACACGGTATTGCTACTAGAGCAGCTCTAGGAGGAATATGACCCTTGCTCACCCATCAACTAGTGTATTACTAGCACACGGTATTGCTACTAGAGCAGCTCTAGGAGGAATATGAACCTTGAACAACACTTACGAGTCTTCGTCAGCGTCGCTGAACTGTCCGTCGTGAAACTCCATATTCAAATGGGAGCTACAATGGCATCCTCTTGTACAACAGGTGTTGTGGGGGCAGCGGGTGTTGTGGGGGCAGCAGGTGTTGTGGGGGCAGCGGGTGTTGTGGGGGCAGCGGGTGTTGTGGGGGCAGCGGGTGTTGTGGGGGCAGCGGGTGTTGTGGGGGCAGGAGGTGTGGTGGGCAGCAGGTTGTGTTGTGGGGGCACCTACTAGAATCAGCACTGTGTTGTCAAGAGAGATACGTTTTAGGGGCTACTGATAATGTCAGGGAGTCCGAGTTAGGTAACATAGAGGACAGGTTTATAATACCCACTGTTGCGAGAGTAGCGGGCTTTGCAGACACGTGTTGTTGTTGATTTACGGGCGACGACTAGCGAGGGATCGGATGCGCTCCAGGTCACGTGTTGTGAACGGACAGGTGTTGGGGGACACGTGTTGTGAGGGGTCAGATGTTGGGGAACACGTAATTACCTGAGTGTAATTACCTAAGTGTAGTTACAGGATGAGAGCAACGCTCGTGGTGTCCCGTCTACCGAGCACTCTTTGTCATATAACGCTTTGAAGCTACTGACGGTCTTGGCCTCCACCACCTTCTTACTTAAGGTGGTCACAAGTCTTGGGTCAGCCTTGACAGGGAGCACTAGACGTATAGGGGCAGCGGTCCACGTATACCCAGGGAAGAATAGGGTCAAGTGAGCGGGTGTACTGTGCACTGGGGATCGGGACATTGTAAATCGATCAGTGGCATAGTATTGCAACACATTGATCACTTCTCGTGGTGACTCCTCTTGCATGATAGTATGATGATAGATGGAATTACTGGTGTCGATTTCACTTTGCCTCATTAGTTTAGTTTAGTTCATTTATTATGCACCCCATACCCATCTTGTGGGCGGTAGTGGAAAGGGTTACAGAGGCACATAATGGGCTCAGGGACTGAACCCCACAGTTCATTTATTTATATATATATATATATATATATATATATATATATATATATATATATATATATATATATATATATATATATATATATATATATATATATATATATATATATATATATATATATATATATATATATATATATATATATATATATATATATATATATATATATACAAGAAGGTACATTGGGATTGTGAGGATATATAGCATAGTAATTACAATCAATGTACCTCTCTCAACCAGTTTAAGATAAAAACGAAGCTATACCTAATAAATTCCCTGTAACCTACCTTACCCCTCTATTGTCAACCCATGTCTGTTTTTTTTAAAGAGCGCTGTTTGTCGACAGAATTGTATTTGTGCTGCTTTTTCAGCTATGTTTTCATTTTACTCTTTATGCTCAATTAGTACTAAGCTTTAGTCATTTAAGTTTTTTATGCCCGAAACGCTTTGCGTCATAGTGGCTTTAGGCATTGTATGTACTAGCCCTATCTATAAATCCATCACTCTTTGTAAAATCTCTTTTATGTATGTACCTTACCTAAATAAACATTTTGATTTTTGATTTTGATCTTGTAAAGCCACTAGTACGCGCAGCGTTTCGGACAGGTCCTTAATGTAAGAAAATTTTAAGTAGGTAAATACTTGAAAAATTTATAAATAATGATAACAGTTACAAAGGAAGAAAAAATAAAAGATGAGAGAAAATTGTAGGTATATTAAGCACATTAAGCAAATTGTAAGGTATATTAAGTTCATTTAGCTAAGCAAGTTACAATCTTGATGAGCTAGTTACAAAATTCAATATAAGTCGTCACATCAACAATGGGTTCGAGATCGACCTCAAGTACAATTTCTAAATTAAGCAACTGACATATGTGGAGAGCTAGTGTCACAATTGATATGTTTGTCCTGCACACCGCCCCCATCCAGTGGGCAGCGGTGGATAGGTTACAATCACTCAGTTACTACCTACAGTTTGCAAACTAGGGATATTTGGCTAAAATTTCTGGTAGCAGATCATTTTGAATGAAATATTTACACATCGCTGGAACATTGGTTATAGAATTGTCTCTGAATTCACGTATCTTTTCGCCCTACATCACATAGTGACGGAGGGTGTGCGAATAATTTTGTTGACACAGTTTACATTTGGTCAGGTCTACACCGGCAGATAATGAGAATTCCCAGAGATACTTGTAACCGAGTCTAAGCCGAGCAATAGTAACATCTAGAAGTCTGCTGATTTTATTGGATGATCCATAGATGTGTGGCTCCTCTTGCATGATAGTATGATGATAGATGGAATTACTGGTGTCAATTTCACTTTGCCTCAGATCTACAAGATCTTGTTGAAGTTCTCGGTGTACTGCTGCTCTCAGATTGCTCATTGATAATCCAAGGTTACACTCAACGTCTCCTTTAAAGGCAGATTCTTTGGCTAAAACTAGACTGTTTTGTAAAAGAAGTTCCGGACCAACCGGGCTGTGGTGGGTATGTGGGCCTGCGGGCCGCTCCAAGCAACAGCCTGGTGGACCAAACTCTTACAAGTCAAGCCTGGCCTCGGGCCGGGCTTGGGGAGTAGAAAAACTTCCAGAACCCCCCATATAGCAGGTATCATCAAGCAGGTAACTTATCAGCTCTATCATGCATTCGGAGGCCAACATGAGATTGAGACCACATGAAATGGACTCTGTTACCATCCTTTTTTTTTTTTTTTTTTTTTTTTTTGAGATATATACAAGAGTTGTTACATTCTTGTAGAGCCACTAGTACGCGTAGCGTTTCGGGCAGGTCCCTGGAATACGATCCCCGCCGCGAAGAATCGTTGTTACAACCAAGTACACATTTTACTGTTGCGTTAAACAGAGGCTACAGTTAAGGAATTGCGCCCAGTAAATCCTCCCCGGCCAGGATACGAACCCATGACATAGCGCTCGCGGAACGCCAGGCGAGTGTCTTACCACTACACCACGGAGACTGTCAAACCTTAATAAGTTTGTTGTATTTGTGTCTAGCTTCGGACACGAGCATGTTACAGTTATGTCTTAAAGAGTTGAGACCATTTAAGGATGATAAGGAGTCACTTACAATTAATGTATCAAGTTTGGAGACTTAATTGTACACATTTCAGTGCAAGAAGCAAGGCAAATAGTCCTATCTGACTCCCCACTCAAAGTATAAGCCATCGCCCATTGTCAGAACAACTGCACTTCCAGCTGCACCCGTGGTGCGGTGTAGGGAACCATCAGTGTATATGATTTGAGAGAGAGAATGCTCTGTGGACAGAGCATCAATATGGCTTAAGACGTTGAGTTTTGCCTCAAGACGAAGCTTGAGCTGATCTCTAATTTGCTTCTTGGGTGGAAAGGGAGGGATTAAAACTGGAAAGGGTGTAACCTCCCACGGTGCAGGAAAGTGCCATTGTTGTTTCTCTGATATAAATTATGAACCTGATACATTCTGAGTTGAGTTCCAGATTTTCTTATCCATTTGGAACAATGCTGATCTTCAATAGAGAAATTCTGAAGGGCTTCTGTGCAAGGATTAGGATGAGTTAGCCTAAGCATTTTTATACCAATTTGACAGTTAATTTCAATAACACGATCAACAACGCTCGGAATATTAAGTTCCTTTCTCATATTAAGTATCTTTGTGGTACCCAAGGATTATCCTCCCAAGGATTATCCTCACCCAAGGATTATCCTCAAGGCTTCGTTCTGCAATTTTTCAAGCCCTCCAAGCTTTCTTTCAGGCATCAAAACAAGCAGAGGTGCAGCATACTCCACTAAAGATCTGATGTATGCAAGGTACAGCATTTTGACACTTCTGACATTGGCACCATAGCTTGAGTGATAACCTGCAACAGCCTTGAGAGCTCGAAGCCTCTCTTTATACTGACGACAGAGTCTGAATACAACAGGACCATACAGTGGCACCTCAAGGCCAAGGTATTTGAATCTGTTTACATAGTCAAGCTGGGAGCCATCAGACAGTTGCATCTTGCGAACAGCTCCTCCCTGCCTGGGTGGGCGCCGATTTAGTATTCGATAGTAGCATTTAGTAGTAGATTTAATTAGTTTTCTCTGCTGAGATAATTAATCCTAGGTCCTGACATGAGTCTAATACAGAGTTAAGAGTGTTCTGCGTGTTAGCATACCCAGTGGTGTGTATCATTATATCATCAGCATAGCTAATGATGTGGACGTTGGGTTTGCTCGGTATAGAGTTTAACAGCGTGTTTATTAAGATATTAAATAAGGTAGGACTGAGGACACCACCCTGCGGGGTACCTAGTTCAAAGTCTCTTGTTACACTCCTATGCCCCTGGAAAAATACAGATGATTTCCTGTTGGATAAGTAACCTCTGATCCAAGAAAGAAGCCGACCACCAATATTCATTCTTGCAAGCTCACTCAAGATAACATGCCTATTTGCAATATTAAAGGCAGACTTGAGATCTAGGAAGGTGGTGTATGACTTTTCAGTGTGCAGGGTAAGAAAGGTGGTGATGCAATGATGCACACTCCTTCCATGCATGAAGCCATATATTTGGGGGGATAGCATGGTTCTTATTCTATGGAGGAGACGGTTTAGGACCATTCTCTCGAATGTTTTGCAAATGCAGCTAGTAAGGGAAATTGGGCGGAAAGCATTCTCTTGATTTGGCTTGGGAATTGGAATGATTATACTGTTGGTCCAAGAGATAGGAAGTTCCCCAGTAACATAGCTCATATTATACAGCTCAAGCAGGGGATTCCCTGGTACTAAAGGGAGCAGACGCAATATGTCATAAGTGATACCATCTTCACCGGGGGATGTGGCTTTGCCTTTGTTTAGGGCCGCGAGTAATTCAAACTCAGTAAATGGCACGTTGCATTCATCTTCCTTGTGGAGCATGAAGTCAACGAGCCTTTCTCGATCTCCGTAACCAGCATTTAATCTGAACTGTATGTCTGGGGGAAGATTATTGAAGCTAGAGGTGGTTGCCCAAGCATCGACTAACTCGTTTGCTCTGTGTAGAGGGTGAGGGTGTGCTACTTGGCCGATCTTATCGCCTTTAATTCTTTTAATATCCTTCTATGCCTGGCTGAGGGGGGTGTGAGAGTTGAGACTGTTAACAAAAGTTTCCCAGTTATCTTGCCTGAGCTCTGTCATGCGCTCCCTCGCCTTGGCTAGGGCTTTCTGAAAGAGCTTGAGCATTGCTGGCGTA